CAAGGGATTATCCTATAGCGCCAAGACCTCAGCACATCGCCCCAAGCCAGGATCACCTCAATCCCCAACCCTAGGCAAAACACCCCAAACCCCAAACCCTAAACCCTAAACCCTAAATCCTAAACCCTAAACCCTAAACCCTAAACCCTAAACCCTAAACCCTAAACCCTAAATCCTAAGCCCTGAACGGATACTTTGGGGGCGAGGCGGCCCCCAACCCGCAAGTCACATATTCACCATCGGCCTGGCCAGATGAGACCCGGAACCCAAAACCCCAAACCCAAAAAGCCCCAAACCCCAAGCCCTAAGCCCTAAAACCCTAAGCCCTAAGACCCGAAACATGAGATGTCCACCTTAATAGGGATCAGAATAGGGGGTACTATAATCCCTATTTACGGACTGTTAGTATGAGGGTGAACAGCCCAACCCCCCAAACCCGAAACCCCAGAGCCCGCATCAAGAACCCCCCTGGCCTCCAGGGAGTAGCTTCCGACATAAGCCTCGGCTTGGCAGGGTCTTTCAAAAAGGGTGTTTGGGGTTTGGGGTTTGGGGTTTAGGGTTTAGGGTTTGGGGTTTCGGGTTTAGGGTTTAGGGTTTCGGTTTGGGGTTTAGGGCTTGGGGTTGAAGAGGGCGCCAACCTCAAAAAGTTCGCAAGACCGAAACGATCCTTACACCCTCAATCTGTTAAGTAATGTCACAATAATGCAATAGCAATGACCATCAACAAAAAATGCCAACATGTTCTGAGTCGAACCCCCAAAGTCGTGAACAAAGGGCTCTGAAAACCCCAAGCCCTAAGCTCCAAGAACCGAGTTGGTTCTATTAGGGCGCTACTTGATAATATCTACTCAGCCGAATACTTCTTTCTTCTTTTGAGCCTTGCCGGCCGAACGTAACCCAACATGTGGGCTGCTGAGGGGCCGAAACCCTAAACCCTAAACCCTAAACCCTAAACCCTAAACCCTAAACCCTAGAGTGGCCTGTGGTGCGGTCCGGCGGCCATGATGCCAAGGACCACACATCTCTGGGTGAGACCGCGCCGATTCCTGGCTTAGGGTTTAGGGTTTAGGGTTTAGGGTTTGGGGTTTAGGGTTTGGGGTTTAGGGTTCAGGGTTTAGGGTTTAGGGTTTCGGGTTCGGGGTTTGGGGTTTAGGGTTTGGGGTTTAGGGTTCAGGGTTTAGGGTTTAGGGTTTAGGGTTTAGGGTTTAGGGTTTAGGGTTTAGGGTTTCGTTTAGGGTTTCGTTTAGGGCTCAGGGCTTAGGGTATGGTCTAGGATTTCTGGGCTTAGGTGGTCTATGTGCTTTCTGGGTTTGGGTGGTTTTACCGGCTTTAGGTGGTTTCGGTGGTTTCGGGCTTAGGTTTCGGGCCGGGGGATCAAGCTCTGGGGATTTTTCAGGATATTGCAGGCATTTTCTGGACTCAGACAAGCCTCAGTTACGGCAAAGGGTCTCCTTATGGAACTTCCGCTCCACCCCATGCCCCCTTTCACATCCTCAAGCCCCAAAAACCCCTGAAGCCAAATCCCCACCCAAAACCCTAAACCCTAAACCCCCAAAACCTCTCGACCCTGAAGCCCCGAAAGCGCCCCATAGGAATCTCTGAGCCTCATCGCCAAAACTTGAAAACTAACACCTAAGCCCCCCACCCCCCTTAAAATACCCCAAAACCCTAGCACCTACAACCTCAACCCTCAACCCTCAACCCTAAACCCTAAACCCTAAACCCTAAACCCCTAAACCCTAAACCCTAAACACCCTTTCATCAGAATAAAACAGGCCAAAGGCTGCAAGTCGCGCACCAGCGTTCCCTGGAGCGCTGGGATGAGCTCCAGAGCGAGCCTACTCTCCCAGGGGTTTAGGGTTTAGGGTTTGGGGTTTAGGGTTTCGGGTTTAGGGTTTAGGGTTTAGGATTTAAGGTTTAAGGTTCAGGGTTTAGGGGGTAGGGACTTTGCAGAGGGCGGATGGTAGCCAGAGGCTTTGGTGTTTTTAGGTCTCTTGAGGCTTAGGGGCATTAGGGGCTTTCGGGGCTTTCGGGGCTTTCGGGGCTTCCGGGCTTTCGGGGCTTTCGGGGCTTTCGGGGCTTTCGGGGCTTTCGTTCCTCGGAGGTTTCATGGGTCAACAAATGGGGTCTGGGGTCGCATTGGTTAGGGTTTGGCGGGTGGGGATAAGCAGGTGAGGGGGAGATTGATTGCTGTCCAGGCCGGCTGCATGCAGTGAATTAGCATTTCCAGCACGCTTCCACGCTAAACCCCTAAACCCCTAAACCCCTAAACCCCTTAACCCCTAAACCCCTAAACCCCTAAACCCTAAGCCCTAAACCCCATTCCAAGGTGGAAGCGGTTAGACCCTAAAAAGTCACAGAAACCGCCCTACATATGCCCCAGACCCTAAACCCTAAACCCTAAACACCTCTCAAGGTGGACTTGAAATTACTTCTCTTCTAGACCCCCGAAAACTATACTCCCCTGAGAACCTTAGTTCAAAAACCTGATAGGATCCACGAACCCGAATGCAGAAAGCAGTCACCTATAACGTAAATATAACGCAATATAAACGAAACGTCGGTGGCGGGCGGACGGACCACCATCACGGACCACCACCACGGCCCACCACCACGGACCACCACCACGGACGTCCACCACCACGGACCACCACTACGGGACCACCGCCACGGAGCACCACCACGGGACCACCACCACGGGACCACACCATGGGACCACCACTACGGGACCGCCACCACGGGACCACCACCCGGACCACCACCACGGACCACCACCACGGGACAACCGCCACAGGACCACCACTACGGGTCATGGACCACGGGACCACACCATGGGACCACCACCACGGGACCACCACCACGGGACCACCACGCGGACAACCACCTGCAACCACCACCACGGACCACCACCACGTGACCACCACCACGGCCGACCACCACGGACCACCACTACGGGACCACCACCACGGACACCACTACGAGACCACCACCACGGACCACCACCACGGGACCACCACTACGGGACCACCACGGGACCACCACCATGGGACCACCACCAGGACCACCACCAGGAATGCCACGTAGAACGCCACGGCGGCGTGTGTCCTGTGGAGTTTCCCCTTAGCTTGACAGATGCGGAACGCCACGTGGAACGCCACGTGGAACGCCACGGCGGTGCGCGTCCTGTGGAGTTCCCCCTTAGCTTGATGGATTCGGAACGCCACGAAACGCCACCTCGGCGCGCGTCCTGTGGAGTCCCCCCTTGACAGCACGCCTTACGCCACTCGCGAACGCTTGCGGACGCTTTGCGGACGCTTGCGAACGCTTGCGGACGCTTTGCGGAGCAACGACGTTTGGTAACCACCCAACCCAACTTTTACAACGGGAACCCTTCTGGGGAGCATTCGGGAAAAGATGTTCTGTCGATATTGTCTTGGAGTTTATCTATATAACCGTCATCCCTAAGGGAGCTATAGGAAGACCCCCTTAATTGTCTTGGGGCTTATGTAACCGTCATCCCCTAAGGGAGCCATAGAAAAAAAAAACCTTAGACTAACCTTCAAATCGATATTGTCTTGGGGCTTATCTAACCGTCATCCCTCTGAGGGAGTTATAGAAAAAGCCCCCTTAAAGTAACCTTGAAATCTCGGAAGCCCAGGATGCTCCCAAAACAAACCTGAAGACACATGATGGGGGCATCGAAATTAGGGTTTCGGGTTTGGGGTTTGGGGTTTAGGGTTTGGGGGTTGGGGGTTTAGGGTTTAGGGTTTAGGGTTTAGGGTTTAGGGTTTAGGGTTTAGGGTTTAGGGTTTAGGGTTTAGGGTTTAGGGTTTACCTCATTGGGGTCCGGATTCTAAGGGGATCCTTCTATTTGGGGGTCTATATTCAAGGCCCCTATGTTCGTAAACCGAAGCTGCTGGAAAAAGAACATCGAAGCCTACACCTTGGGATGGTTCCCGTATGCTAACAGTCCTTAATCGGGATTATCAGTTTAGGGTTTAGGGTTTAGGGTTTAGGGTTTAGGGTTTAGGGTTTAGGGTTTAGGGTTTAGGGTTTAGGGTTTAGGGTGCTAGAATCCCAAGTAAGGACTGTCAGCATAAGGGGAAAAACATCCAATCCCTAAACCCGACAATCCCCGAAACCTTCTCACAGACGCCTTGGAAACACAACAACTTCAGGGGGGGGCGGCGGGTGTTACGCTGAAATCTGGTCTGCATCCGGGTTGGAGTTTGGGGTTTAGGGTCCTGGGGTTTTGGGGTTTAGGGTTCTGGGTTCAAGGAAACTCTAGAATCGAAACTGAGGTGAGGAGCGAGGACCACAGACCCGCCACGGCCAGTGCTAGGAAGGCCAGTGTGAGGGCCTGGTTCAGGGGTTTAAGTTGGGATGTTCCCCCTTATACTAACAGTCCTTCATAGGGACTTTCATAGGGGGCACGACAATCCCTATTAAGGACTGCTAGTATAAGGGGACATCTCAAGGTTTAGGGTTCCGGGGATTTGGGGTTCAGGTTAAAAGGTTTGGGGTCTTAGGGTTTGGGGTTTAGGGGTTTGGGGTTTTGGGGTGTAGGCTGTAGGTTTTGGGGGGGAGCCTTGAAGATCAAGGATCTCCTCTCCAGAGCCATCATGTCTTTCCAGCGCAGGCCCTGCAGAAAGACGAAGAGCGCTCCGTGCAGGTAGCAGCAGAGGAAGAAAGCGTTTGCAAGCTGCTGGTGTATGGCGTGGCCACTTTCGATCCTGGGCTGGTGTGGCAGAAGCTCCAATTCCCAAAGAGGTTTCAGGGTCTAGGGTTTAGGGTTTGGGGTTTGGGGTTTGGGGCTTGGGGTTTGGGGTTTAGGGTTTAGGCTTTAGGGCTCAACCACGAAGCACACGCGAGTGGGTACTAAAGTGTTCGACATTGCTATGGAACTGTTGTAAACAAGATGGGGCTTTCCTTGTGCTGACCTGAACTGTAACCCTAAACCCTAAACCCTACACCCTAAACCCTAAACCCTAAACCCTAAATTAACTGTAACCTTGACCGAGGATCTGATTCTGCGTCTCGAGCAATGTTCCCCGATTCGTGATCGTGGCCAGGCCCGTCAGGCACAGGGTGCCCAGCACCAGGAGGGCCTCCGCCGCAATAACCTTGCTTCTCCACATAACCAAAGGAACAAAAAGGTTGAACTTCAAAATTCCTACTAAATAAGGAAACTTTAAAATTTCCTACTAAATAAGGAACCCAAAAAGTTTAACGTTCAATCAAAGGCGAAGTAAGTAACGGGCACGGCCATGAGGTAGCTGAGCTTCCGCTGCCAGAGGACTTCGTGCAGCAGCCCCGCCACAGGGCAAAGGAAAATGGTCCAGGTGAAAATGACGCCCAACGTCCAGATGTAGCTCTCCTGAATTGTGCTTTCATCCCTTTGAGAAGTATCTATGAATAGATGCTCGTAAAAGGGTTTAGGGTTTAGGGTTTAGGGTTTAGGGTTTAGGGTTTAGGGTTTAGGGTTTTCCAAAAGCACGACCCGGTCTCAGGCGGCGTTTCGGTCGTCAGGCTGATCTCGGTGGCATAGGCCCGCTCCACCCTCCCGTCCTGCTCCCGGTCGCACTTCCCGCCAAGCACGGCCGAGACCTGGGCCAAATAGCCCTAAACCCTAAACCTAAACCCTAAACCCTTCACCCTTCACCCTAAACCCTAAACCCGAAGCCCTAAACCCTGCCTTGCGGTTTAGCCCTAAGCCCGAACTTCGGATCCAAAAAAATTTAGGGCTTAGCCACACCCCCCTGGAAGGTAGCTTCCCTCCCACAAAATCCTAGGCGCGCCGCCAAGCTCCAGGACCGAGGGTTTAGGGTTTAGGGTTTAGGGTTTAGGGTTTAGGGTTTAGGCTTTAGGGTTTAGGAAAATGAAGAGATGGAAGAAGATGTGCATGATACAGGGCTTCTGCTTAGGAGCTTAGGCGAAGTTGCCACATCCACGAGTATTCCGGAAGCCTTGTATGTGAGCTCCTTCATCTCAAACCTGAAACCCTTGAGCCCTAAGCCCAGTGACGTGACAGATCAGGATGAGGATGGCCAAGATCAGAACGGCCACCGCTGGCCACCAGGGCGCGAACCGGGACAGGAGGATTCGCCGCGGCAGCATCGCCGGAAGGATTTAGGGTTTCGGGTTTATGTAGAGTTGAGGGTTTAGGGTTTAGGGCATAGGGTAAAAGGTTTAGGGTTTCGGGTTTAGGGTCTAGGGTTTAGGGTTGAGGGTTTAGGGTTTAGGGCTTAGGGCTTAGGGCTTAGGGTTTAGGGTTTAGGGTGTAGGGTGTAGGGTTTAGGGTTTAGGGTTTAGGGTTTAGGGCTTAGGGCTTAGGGTTTAAGGTTTAGGGTTTAGGGTTTAGGGTTTACTCTCGTGAAGCTGTGGCATCCTTCAGACCTCCATTGTACTTGTATCGTCCACTTTGAGCCACGTTTGTCGTACGGGTGGCTACAGCTCGGTCTCGATGCTTGGGGCAGGGCTTAGGGTGTAGGGTTTTGGGTTTGGGGTGTAGGGTTTAGGGTGTAGGGTTCAGGGTTTGAGGCTTAGGGTTTAGGGTTTAGGGTTTGGGGTTTAGGGTGTAGGGATATCGTACTTGAGTATGCGGCACCTCAAGAGAACCAAAGATGCCACGGGGGTAGGGTTTAGGGTTTCGGATTTAGGGTTTAGGGGTTCAGGGTTTAGGGGTTCAGGGTTTAGGGTTTAGGGTTTAGGGTTCAGGGTATAGGGTTCGGGTTTCGGGTTTCGGGTTTGGGGTTCAGGGTTTGGGGTTTCGAACACCGATGGCACGAGTGGCCAAGCCATCCTATCCGTCCACACACACATTCATTCCCCTCTGGTTCTTCGTAGGGAATGAAGGGAACTAGGGCCCTTTTTCCCGAAAGCATCGCGAAGGGTTCTTCCGTGCGGAGCCCTCTGACCCAACCACAATAGAGTGAAGTGCATAGAGTGAAGTGCATAGAGCGAAGTGCATAGAGCGAAGGGCATAGAGTGAAGCGCATAGAGTGAAGTGCATGGAGTGAAGCGCATAGAGTGAAGCGCATAGAGTGAAGTGCATAGAGTGAAGTGCATAGAGTGAAGTGCATAGAGTGAAGTGCATAGAGTCAAGTGCATAGAGTCAAGTGCATAGAGTCAAGTGCATAGAGTCAAGTGCATAGAGTCAAGTGCATAGAGCGAAGTACATAGAGTGAAGTGCATAGGGTGAATTGCATAGAGTGAAGTGCATAGAGTGAAGTGCATAGAGTGAAGTGCATAGAGTGAATTGCATAGAGTGAAGTAGAAGTTAATAGAAATTACGAGATTTACGCAGAATTTCGTAGACCTTCGTACCCAGTCCTAGATTTCTAAATTAGAACTAGATTAAAATTTCTCTTTCTCAGGCGGCGGGCTGGGTTGACATCGCCAATCGGGATTGCAACCCTCTGCGGGTTTCGGCGTGGTCGCGGTGCTAAAACCATCGTTTTTTTACGTTTCTTGATTTGCGCGGACAACCCTCTGCGGGTTTCGGCGTGGTCGCGGTGCTAAAACCGTCGTTTTTTTACGTTTCTTTGTGTCCGCGGACAACCCTCTGCGGGTTTCACCGTGGTCGCGGTGCTACAACCGTCGTTTTTTTACGTTTCTTTGTGTCCGCGGACAACCCTCTGCGGGTGATCGCCGGGTCGCGGTGCTAAAACCGTCGTTTTTGGTACTTTTTTTCGTGGCCGCAGACAACCCTCTGCGGGTTTCGGCGTTGGCGCGGTGCCAAAACCGTGGTGTTTTTGCGTTTTTTGACATACAAACGTAACCCCTCTGCGGGTTTCGGCGTTGGCGCGGTGCCAAAACCCTCGTGTTTTTGCGTTTCTTGACATGCAAACGTAACCCCTCTGCGGGTTTTCGCGTGGTCGCGGTGCTAAAACCGTAGTGTTTTTGCGTTTTTTGCGTTTGTTTTTCGACTTGTGTAGTACAGACGTAGTATGCTGGGGACTTCCGTGGCTGGAAAATCGAGTTTTGTAGTACAAATGTAGTACGCAGGGGACGCCCGGAGTTTCCGTGGCTGGAAAGTCGACTTTTGTAGTACAAACGTAGTACGCCGCGGACACGCGGAGCTTCCGTAGCTGGAAAGTCGACTTTTGTAGTACAGACGTATAGTACGCCGGGGACGCCCGGAGCGTCCGTGGCTGGAAAGTCGACTTTTGTAGCACAAACGTAGTACGCCGCGCACACGCGGAGCTTCCGTAGCTGGAAAGTCGACTGTTGTAGTACAGACGTATAGTACGCCGGGGACGCCCGGAGCTTCCGTGGCTGGAAAGTCGACTTTTTGTAGTACTCACGTAGTACGCCGCGCACACGCGGAGCTTCCGTGGCTGGAAAGTCGACTTTTTGTAGTACAGACGTATAGTACGCCGCGGACGCCCTGGGCATCTGAAAACACCGCAAATAGCATGGTAACGGACATCTGGCCGCTTGAAAACACCGCAATAGCATGGTAACGGACATCTGGGCGCTTGAAAACACCGCAAATAGCATGGTAACGGACATCTGGGCGCTTGAAAACACCGCAAATAGCATGGTAACGGACATCTGGGCGCATGAAAACGCCGCAAATAGCATGGTAATGGTAACTGCAAATAGCATGGTAACGGACATCTGGGCGCTTGAAAACACCGCAAATAGCATGGTAACGGACATCTGGGCGCTTGAAAACACTGCAAATAGCATGGTAACGGACATCTGGGCGCTTGCAAACACCGCAAATAGCATGGAAGCGGAATTCCGGACGTACTTGAAAACCTCGCAAATAGCATTCCCGCCGCGGACACCCGGAGCTTGCGTGTCGAAACCACCACAAATAAACCATCGCAAATATCGCGGGACTCGAATTCCTCGAAACCCTTGCAAATGTCGTGGGACTCGAATTCCGGGGCTTCGAAAACCTCGCAAATATTGGGACTCGAATTCCTCGAAAACCTCGCAAATATCATGGGACTCGACTTCCGGGGCCTCGAAAACCTCGTAAATATCGTGGTTCCAAAACCATCGCAAATACCCTGGTCCCCGAATTCGCTGTTTCCAAAAGCATCGCAAATACCATGGTCCCCGAAATCGCTGTTTCCAAAACCATCGCAAAAACCATGGTCCCCGAATTCGCTGGTAAACCATGGTCCCCGAATTCGCTGGTTCCAAAAGCATCGCAAGTATACCATGGTCCCCGAATTCGCTGGTTCCAAAACCATCGCAAATCAGACAAGTGCAGTGTACAAGTGACTATGCAACCATGTAAGTGCATACATTTGTCCAAGTGCATACACTTCGGCTGCAAAGAGGCAACTGCATGGAGTCAACGCACGGCAAATCGATGCTTTCGGGCCCTCTTCTAGTTGCACCCTGTAAGGGGAATATATAGGGTACCTTGGAATGTTCCCCCTTTTGCCGACAGTCCTTAACAGGGATGATAATGGGGCCAACAGGGGATACTTTAATCCCTACTAAGGACTGTTAGTACAAGGTACTAAGAACCAGCCAGATTCAGGGCTTAGGGCTTCGAGGTTTAGGGTGTAGGGCTTAGGGTTTGAGTTTAGGGTTTAGGGTTTAGGGCTTAGGGTTTGGGGTTTGGGGTTTAGGGTTTAGGGTTTAGGGGAAATTCGTCTTTGTGCAAGCCCCTGGGCTGCCACGCTCATGGGGAGGGTTTACGAACATAGGGGGGCCTCGAATATAGACCGCACAGAGTAGGATTCCCCTCAAATAAGGGCCCCAATAAGGTACCCCCCCTAGTTTCGGAAACCCCCCATGAGGGTTTCAGACATCTTGCATGCTGTTTCCCTGCATCCCAACGTGCCATCATGATGCACAACATGGCAGCCACGGCGGCTTTGACAAGTGTTGTGCTTTGAAAGGGCAACCCCGACCGAAGAGTCGGGAAGATTGGCCCGAACTATATGTCTGGTGACTAGAACACCACCAAGGACTTCGGTGTCAATGAGTTGAGGGCTTTCGGCAGTGCATTCCGATTCAGGGTTGGGGGGGGGGGGGGGGATTAGGGTAGGGTTTAGGGTTTAGGCTTTAGGCTTTAGGCTTTAGGCTTTAGGCTTTAGGCTTTAGGCTTTGGGCTTTGGGCTTTGGGCTTTAGGCGGGGTTTAGGGTTTCGGGGGTTTAGGGTGTAGGGGTTTTGGGGATCTAGATTTCTCGGCTTAGGGGTGCATCCCAACAAGAGAGCAGGCAAACTCGGCAGCTGACTGTTGTGCCGGATCGCGGGCGAGGCGCGCTACAGAGAATCACTAGCTGAGCCGTTAGAGCTCTCGACCTGCCAAACATTTCCCCAAAAAAAACTGTGCCACAAATTTGTGGGCGTGCGCCCTCCTCTTCCAGAACCAAGTCCATCATCCCTATGGAAGTAAATATATGGGGGCCCTTTCCCCGAAACCCCCAGCCTACACCCGAAACCCTAGACAGTAGGTTCTGGCAGGTGGGGCGTAGGCTACTTGGCAGAAGGCTCAGGCTGCAGGGGGCCTGCAACCTGGAACCTGCCAACCGGCCGATGGAACCCTTTAGGGCTTAGGGCTTTTTAGGGAGTTAGGGCTTACAGGCGCTTCGGGTTTGGGGTTCAGGGCTTCGCGCTTGCAGGTTTTTAGGGTTCAGGGTTTAGGGATTGCAGAAAATTTGGGGGGCTATAGGGTTGAGGGTGTACAGAATTTGCCAAAATTAAAGGCGTCAGGGCCCGAAGCACTGGATGGACGGGCGAACTTGCCCGCGGCTGTCGCGGAGTATCGGGTAGCCGTGGTACATGCCAATCTTCTGAATCCACCAAGGAACCTCTTTCTTGAGCTTGGGCCGTGGGTCTTGGGGTTCAGCTTCGACATTGACAGATCTAGTATTCAGGTTTAACCATGCGCGGTCTCGAATTATGTGGCTTCAGGGTTTATGGCTTAGGGTTTAAGGCTTAAGGATTTGAGGTTCAGGGTTTTGGGTTAGCGTTTCAGGCTTCAGGGTTGAGGGTGTGTCGGGTGGTCGGGTTTGGTACTTTTGGTTTTAGGGTTGGGGCTGCGAGGGCTCTGCACGGGCTTGTAACTTACAGGATTCAGGGTGTAGGGTTTAGGGTCTAGGGTTTAGGGTTCAGGGTTTAGGGTTTGGGGTCCCCGAACATTCTGACATGGCCCAACCCCAAAACCCTAAACCACCTTAGGAAGCAGTGTACAGTGTACATATGAAGCAGTGGAGGCATGATGGAAACACGCACACAAGTAGATGCGGCAGCCAAAAGATTCGACCGTCACAGGGCCACCCTTAACACCAAGCCTTGCGGTTGGGGGGAAAAATATTCTTAACCCCAAAACCCAGACTCTGAAGAACCCTACACTCTAAACCCTAAATCCTCAACCTTAAACCCTCCCTTAACCCCGAACCCTCAACCCATGAACTCCAAACCCTAAACCCATGAGCTCCAAACCCTAAACCCTAACCCTAAACCCTAAACCCTAAACCCTAATCACCTACACCCTAAACCCTAAACCCTAAACCCTAAACCCTAAACCCTAAACCCTAAACATCCCTAAACGAGCCTCGAGGTTGAACGGCAGGTCACCCGGCTGGCACTTGGCACGCGTGCCGTTCGGGAAGCGGACGTCGCATTCGGAGATCACTGCCTCCTCCACCTCTCAGCTCGCCGGGCGTTTTTGGGGTGTTTGGGGTTTAGGGTTTAGGGGTTTAGGGTTTAGGGTTTAGGGTTTAGGGTTTAGGGTTTAGGGTTTAGGGTTTAGGGTTTAGGGGGGAGGGGTGCTCGGATGATTTTTTGGCAGGGGTGGGTCTTAGGGTTTCGGGTTTAGAGTCTAGGGCTTAGGGTTGATTTTGATCGCTTGATGCTTCCTGATGGTATGTTTACTGACAGAACGCAAGAGGCTCACGAAAGTCCAGAATTTGACAAATCATTGACGACTAGCAGTAATAAAATAACAGTAGCAAGAACGGCAACCATAGAGGTAGCAACGAAACCACATCAAAACATGCAAAGAGCAGTTGACGTTGACGTCTCACCCCCTTTGACTATCCGAGATTGGATGGAGGCTGGGCAACGCGAACTAGAAGTGCAACAACGCTGGTGATAATCTTGGCACACTGATACATACTAATGCGTGAAACTGCCATGTTGGGACAGCCTGATGGAATTTAGAGGTTAGGGTTTTGGGCTTTGGGTCTGAGGCCCTTTGCAGGCCCGACTTTCCCCATCCATCCATCTGAATCCATTTGAAACAAAACAACCACACAAAACATACCTTGCTGAAAAAGTAATAGCAAAGCAGCGATCTTCTAAACTGAAAACAAACCGACTAAACTCTTTGAAACTTGAAACAAGCGGTAGCTAAGGTAGCTGGATGTCCCGAACCGTGGACATGGGTCTTGCAAGAGCCTGAACCACTAACCTTTCTGACGCGAAAAGAATGCGGCAAACAAGAAAGCCCGAACCGTTGACCCCCTGACACGAAACGACGCTCAACAACCTTCTATGTTGCAATGAAGACAACCCTAAACCCTAAACCCTAAACCCCTGAGAACCTTGAAAGTGCTGAAGGACGGACTGCAGAAGCCAGCTGTGAACTGCTGGTTAGAAACCGAACAGAAAACATACAACTCTGAAGAACATGGCCCTTCGGAGCATCCTAGATAATATGGTAGTTGATCACAATACTCGTTTGACGAAAAACCATAAGGCAGGCTCCCTTTGTGAGAAACATCTCCCCTTTAGGGAACTCTCGTCGCGTAGCCCTTTGCTAAAGGGCCTTTACTCCCTAAACCCTAACCCTAAAACCCTAAAACCCGAAAACCCTAACCCCTAAGCCCTAAACCCTAAACCCTAAAACCCTAAAACCCTGAAACCCTACAACCCTACAGCCCTAAAAACCCTAAACCCTAAAACCCTAAACCCTAGACATCCCGTAAAGGACCTTTAAAACACCCTCCCCCGACACAAGCGCGCCGCAAGAAGTGACCCCAAAGAAGGTCACCGCAGCAGGGCGCCCGCTAGTGGGTTGAGGGTGTGGGGTTTAAAGCTTAAAGTTTAGGGTTTAGGGTTTAGGGTTTAGGATTTCGGGTTTCGGGTTTCGGGTTTCGGGTTTAGGGTTTAGGGTTTAGGGTTTAGGGTCTAGGGTTTCGGGTTTAGGGTTCAGGGTTTAGGAGAGTTTAAAGCCTAAGGTTTCGGGGCGCCATCCTCCCACAGAGGGCCTTGAGCTGGACCCGCCTCTCGTAGGCCGTGGCGCGCCACATTTCGTCCCCTGCTACGCCGGGAAGATGGGCATAGGTCACCTGAGGCTCGGAAGACCCTACAAACCCTAAACCCTAAGCCCTAAACCCTAAACCCTAAACCCTAAACCCTAAACCCCACCACCAAACCCGAAACCCGAAGCCCCAAACCATACCTGGAAGTCCTTGAAGGCCCCTTGAAGACCACGCTTCTAATCTTTTTTTGCATCTGAAACAGTTCTTGCTGTCGCGCATGGAAGGCTCTTCGGGCTAGAAAAACCCCCAAGAACACAAAAAAAACCCTAAACCTAAACCCTAAACCCTAAACCCTAAACCCCAAACCCTAGATACCCCCAATCGGAAACCTCAGGCTTGTCCAGCTCGAAGCCGAAAATACTTTACGCCTTCGTCACGGAAGATTGCAACTCGGATACACTTCTAGTCCCGGAGAGCTTCCATGAAGCAGAAGCCCAGGGTTCTGATGGCTTCGGGACGCCAAGACACCCAAGCCCCAAACCTTCAAACAAAGAGCCGGTGTCCCTAAAGAACACCCACAATCCGACACCCCCGGCACGCCAGATGAAGAGGTCCTAAGAATGATATAAAAAACAGATAATAAATCTCAAATTAAAAAAAGATTAACAAATTTCAAACAGAAAAAAGAGTTGAGATTAGAATCAAGAAAGCCCGAGGTGTGGCAAGGCACTGCAAAGGAGCGGTCCTTCTCCATCGCTTCCTTTAGCCTTCGCCGCTCTGTGGGCTTCGGAGCCCTAAACCCTAAACCCTAAACCCTAAAGTACCCTAAACCCTAAACCCTAAACCCTCCTCTTCAGGGCCGAGGGGGCTTGCGAGCCCTTGGTGGCTTTTGGTTCCTGGAGGCGTGGGGTGGATTTCGGTTGTTCCCCCAAAGCCTGGAAAGCAATGAAGACCCCAAACCCCTTCAAACAGTGAAAGAAGAATATTTGTGTGTATATATATATGCACATATATACATATCTACATATATATACATATATACATATATACATATATACATATATACAGTGAAAGAAGCCATTTTGAGACCCAAAGCTCCGAGCCCGAATCTTGTTAAAACCACCCCCCAGAAGTCGGTCCCGGAATGCCCCCACCGCGCTTCCAAGGGAAAAGGCCTCAAGCACCCTCCCTGAAAAACTGTAGCCCGGAGTACCCGAGTTGTGTCCCATTAATATTTGTGTGTATATATAGATATACACATATATGTAAAATATATATATGTATATATATGTAAACATACATACATAAAAAAATATATGTATATTAAAACACTAGCTAGTGTTTTATAGAAGATAATATAATAGAGCTTTTTGTATTCCAGTGCAGTTTTTACTGCATTTTTCCGAGGAAAAAAACAGAAAATCAGACAAAGACGAAGACAGGAAAACCATAGGTGTGGATCATGGGGGGGGGGGCTGACCACATCTATTGATATATATATATATATATAATCATGACCCTAAGCCAACAACCCTTATATATACCCTCAAATCCAACCCACGCCCTGCACGAGCTGCCAGGGTGCAGCCGCTTCCACTCAAGGGCGGGGGTCGTGTACTGCAAGAGGAGGTCATGGGGTGGCGGAGGGATAATCCCACGCTCCCGGAGGCCTCAAGAGTGGTGGTGTTGGACTTAGAGTCTAAGGTTTAGGGTTTAGGGTTAGGACTCTAGAGGGTTTAGGGTTTAGGGTTTAACCCTAAACCCAAAACCCAAAACCCAACCTCAAACCCGACCTGCCTTGCTCAGGGTTGTGTTCGGCACACCGGGATCCACCCTTCTGGGGTGCCCCCGTATAATGCCCCCAAAAAACATACATACATACATACATACATACATACATACATACATACATACATCCATCCAAACCATCCATGCATGCATGCATGCATGCATACATCCATACATACATACAGACATACATACATACATGCATGCATGCATGCATGCACACACATATATATATATATATTGCTTATTTATATTTACTTCTGTATTTCTGAATTTACTTTTTCTATATCTATTAATTTATCTGTATATAGACAGATATAGACAAAAGCAAGTGCAAAACGCATATGTGCTTGAGAAGATGCGGAACTATAGGAAAGTGTGGCATGCACAGTGAACTTGCACGTTTTTGCTTGTCTTGTCTGACAAAGTCGGAACGCAACTTTGCGGGAAGGGGTTCACTGGCGGGGTCTCCATGCGCACAGTTGTTCAGTTAGAGTTTAGGGTTTAGGGTTTAGGGTTTAGGGTTTAGGGTTTAGGGTTTAGGGTTTAGGGTTTAGGGTTTAGGGTTTAGGGTTTAGGGTTTAGGGTTTAGGGTTTAGGTTGTAGGGTTTAGGGTTTAGGGTTTAGGGTTTAGGGTTTAGGGTTTAGGGTTTAGGGTTTAGGGTTTAGGGTTTAGGGTTTAGGGTTTAGGGTTTAGGGTTTAGGGTTTAGGGTTTAGGGTTTAGGGTTTAGGGTTTAGGGTTTAGAGCGCTTAACCCCCGAGCCCCTCCCAAAACACTCCCAAGCTCCGAACCGAGCTGGAGAACCAGAGAACCGGAAACACAAAAAAAAAACCTAAAAACCGAAACTCTTAGGGTAGTTGCATGGTCCCTTAACATGGGACCTAAAATGGGGATTCCTTTTTCCCCCTTATGTACCCTATACAACCCAAGGGCCCACACCACAGAACCCCTGAAAGAAGGTAAGGCACCACATTCAGGGCGCATGTACGCTTAGAGAAACCCCCCCAAACCCGAACCCCTACCCTAAACCCTAAGCCCTAATCCCTCAACCCTAAACCCGAAACCCCAAACCCTAAACCCCAAACCCAAAACCCGAACCCCTAATCCACATGCAGCGGTGGCGGCGTAAGATGCGGTTGGCACCCGAGTTCAAGAAAGAAGGCCTGCGCGATGCCCGCAGCTTCTCGGCTTTTGACTCTAGGGGGGGCCTTGGGTTGAGGCTTTCGGGTTTAGGGTTTAGGGTTTAGGGCTTAGGGTTTAGGGTTTAGGGTTTAGGGTTTAGGGTTTAGGGTTTAGGGTTTCAGAACCCATAAACCTAACTCACAACCTCCTGAAAACCGTACAGAGACTTAGGGTGAGAAGCAGCACGCTCGTTGGGGCAGTTTCGCGTTAGACCAGTACTAGATGCACAAGAGAAGTTCAAACCAGAATTCAGCAAAGGGGAAGATGCCGAAAGCCTCAACCCTGCAGCCCCGAAACCCATCGAAACCCCGAAGCCCGAAACCTCTAAACCCCGAAGCCCCGAAGCCCCTAACCCCTGAACCGGACCCAAAGCCCTAAACCCCCTAAACCCCTAAAAAACCTGAACCCACAAAGCCCCTAAAGCCCTAAGCCCTGAACCCCGTAACCCCCTAAGCCCTAAAGCCCCAAACCCCTAAAACCCCTCAACCCTAAACCCTAGACCCTAACCCCTAAACCCTAAACCCTCTCAGCCGCCGTCCTCAACCCTCCCGAGCCTTGGAATGCCCAACTGCTCCAAGAGCTCGGGAGCCGCGTGGGGTGTCAGGACGTGTGTCATGTCGCAGGGATAGATGGACCTGAGGGTTTAGGGTTTTAGGGTTTTAGGGTTTTAGGGTTTAGGGTTTAGGGTTTAGGGTTTAGGGTTCAGGGTTTCGGGTTTAGGGTTTAGGGGGTTTTCTCAGCAGCGAAGGCCTGTCAGGGCCTTTCACCCCGAACCCGAAACACAAAATCCTGGCCTGAGAACCCTGCACCCTCAACCCAAAGCCCTGTAGAACAACAATCCCCCCAACTAAGGGACTGAGACCCTAAGCCATCCCTGAACCCTAAACCCTAGCCCTAAACCCTAAACCCATCCAAGGAACTGCAGCCAGTGCGAGTCGGTGGTTTCCATGCGAACCACCCCGCCGCCGTAGGGATGGGCATCGCCCGCCTCGCTGCAAAGAGTTTCAGTTTAGGGGGTTGTTTAGAGGTTTAGGGTTTAGGGTTTAGGGTTTGGGGTTTGGAATTAGGGGTTTAGGTGTAAGGGGTCTCGGGGTTTAGGGTTTAGGTATTCAGGCGTGTCGGTGTTTGGGGCTTAGGGGTTTAGGGGCTTAGAGGAAGAGGCCATGAACGCCCAAAGCAAGGTCCGGCAAAGTGGCAGGAAGATCCTCTTGTTTTGATCAACCTCGAACTCTAGACCACATACCTGAACTCCCAAGCTCTGACATGAGGAAGGCTCAGAGATTAGGGTTCTGGGTGCTGCTGGGTTTCAGGTTGAGGGCTTAGGGTTCACGGTTTCGGGCTTCATAGGCTTTAGGGCACAAAACCCAGGAGGCTGCTTGGGCGAAGGCAGAGGCCCCCACAAGGCGTTCGCTCCGACAAAAAAAGAAAATGCACCAAAGACATGCTCGGGAGTTAGGGCTTAGGGTTTAGGGTTTAGGGTTTAGGGTTCAGGGTTCAGGGTTCAGGGTTTAGGGTTTAGGGTTCAGGGTTCAGGGTTCAGGGTTTAGGGTTTAGGGTTTAGGGTTTAGGGTTTAGGGTTTAGGGTTTAGGGTTTAGGGTTTAGTGTCCTTCAAAGGGGGCGGGTTGGGTGCTACTATCAGGCCTTGGCGGATGGTGTCTCGAATTCTCTTGAACACGAGATCCTTATACATGCTATACCCAAAGAAAACCTAAACCCTAGACTGGACTAGACCGCAGGAAACCCCGCCCTCCTCAACTGTAAAACCCTCCAATCTTACACCTTCTCAAACCCTGAAGCCTTACTTGAACCCTCACTCCCTGAAACCCTCAAAACCTCAAGTTCAAACCCCCAAACCCTAAGCCTGAACCCTAAACCGCGAAACCCTGAACCAAAAACCCATCGGGGCGCCTCACGAAACCACTTGAAAAGCAGCCCCGTGGGAAGCACTAGGTGGTTGGAGCCCCCGTGGATCCTGGGTGTCGAGTTTAGGTACGGTTTGGGCTTTAGGGTTGAAATTTTCGGGTTTAGGGTTGAGGGTTTAGGGTTTAGGGTTTAGGGCTTAGGTTGGAGCGTTATGCTCTCGACTAGAGTCTAGAGGCTTGGGAGGCTCGCAAGGGGGTTCGACTTTAGGGGTCCCCCATGTTCGACCCGAGCAGCTTCAAGTTCGCGAACATGTTGCAAGACGCCTCCTCCATCAACCCCAGCATGATCACCCCAAAGGCATACGTCCACGCGAAGCAGGTGGCCAAGAAGCTCCACCTTGGGCGCCGACACACCTTCTTCGCCGGCGCCTGCGCCGCTGCCCCCTTCTCCCCCTTCTCCATGACCATGGCCCAGTGTAAGAACAGGAAGAGGAAGCCGTAGGCCAGAAAGGACCAGTTGAGAGGCTCAAAGGCTGCTTGGACGCCATAGGCAACTGCAAGAGCCGCCACGACTGACAAGGCTATCACATGGCCTCGCAGCTTCCTCCCCGTGGCTTCAAGCTGAAGAGGATCCACCACAATCACCAGCCGCGATGCGCACTGCACGGCAAACAAGGAGATGTTGTTGGGCCTGGGCGTGATGCCTCGGATGGCCCCCTTATAGAAGCCTCTGAGAAGAGAGTCCTGAACTCTTGAACCCCAATAAGTGCAAAAAATACACCAAAAAAAGTGTCCCCAAAAAAGGGCCCAAACCTAGCTGCACACCCAGAGGTGGAAGTAGAGGATGAACAGGAGCCCCAGGCGTGCAAAGCGGCGGTCCAGGCGTCCCAAGGCCAAGGTCAGGGCCATAGCCTTAGCAGCCCCAGTAACCATCTGAAAATAAGCGCACCTCTTTTTTGGTTGGTTACTTCATACGGGAATCCAGAACCAAAAAAAAGGTAAAGGGTACCACTGGGTTACCACGTGGCCAGCTCCACTCCCACGCCACCCAGGGGCACAAAAGGCAACACCGACTCGGCGAGTCCAAGCTGGGACTCCCAGGGCAGCATGCTGCAGAAGTACGTAACCTAGGTGTCGATATTTCAAGAGTCCTAAAAAAATGTATAACTCTGGCTCCATGTTAAACAATAATAAGAGAAATTTAAGAATTCTCCCGAATCGATGCCCAGTAACGTGCTGGGAAAAGAAAACGCTCGCACAGCTTGCCTTTGGATCCAAGAAGTCGGAATTAAACTTCCACAAGCCCGCGGCAGCGTAAAAGCCAGCAAACATCTCGTGAAGGGTCTCACTCAAGCTGTCTGTGTTCTCCGCTGCACCATAGAGCAGCAGCCAAAGGGCCATCACCAAGTCCGTCTGGACGGACCAGAGGTCACTTTCCCAAGTGTGCGGCATTCGGCTGATCCAATAGCAAGGATAGCCGAGAAACGGAACCATCATGGCCAGACGCACCCAGGTGACACCTATCTACTCCCTTAGAACCTCAATAAAAAAAATGTGTCTAATGTCCTCTTGGGTTTTATATAAACAAAAACACAAAATAGTTCCCAAGGGGGATGTAGACACCGGCTACCCTTGCTGACCGGGTAGATGTCTCAAGCCAGGCCCATACCAGAAGGTGCCATGTAGCAGTTCCCACCAAGATCAGGGACCAGTCTTCGAACACAAATGCTTGTAAGAGACCATTCACGCAGGTGAAACGGAAGAGCGCACCGATGCGAGGGTCGATCTCCATTGCTGCAAAATAAGGTCAGAATCACTCGCTAGAGCGTCGGGGCCTACGTCCTGCGGTCCAGAAAGCTTGCTCTACAGATTCCTCAACTTCCTAAACAGCCTAAGCTTCCCAATCTTCCCCCAAACTCTCAACGTGCAAACTAAGGGCCCCGGGAATGCCTCGCAAAACGAGGGCTGTGCTTGAGCACTGAAGGGCAATGTGGCACTTGGGGGGTTAGGGTGTAGGGCCTTTAGGCTTGAGGGCTGAGGGTTAGGGGGTTGAGGGTTGAGGGTTTAGGGGGTTGAGGGTTGAGGGTTGAGGGTTGCGGGGTGCGGGTTGAGGGTTGAGGGTTGAGGGTTGAGGGTTGCGGGGTGCGGGTTGAGGGTTGAGGGTTGAGGGTTGAGGGTTGAGGGTTGAGGCTTGAGGCTTGAGGGTTGAGGATTTGTGTGTGCTTGTCAAATGCTTACCAAGCCCACTTGTCAGGCACAGACAGAAGGAAGCAAGAACAATCCGAACCGACCTTTCTTGGTTGTGGATGTTGCCTTTCCTGCGTAGGAAGCCCTGTTGTCATTGCTGTTGTCTTTGGAGTTCGCAAAACCCTGCGCGTAGCGCTGGAATTGTGTTTTGAGGTTTCGTCCGTCTTCCTGCACCTGGATGCCCCGTTTCACACATGAATTTGGTCTGGGCATGAAGGCTCGAACGATGCTCAGAGATCATGTGGCAGCTACCTTCCTTTTTCATGAGGCGAACTTCAGCTTAGCTCCAGGTCGGCTGTTCGGCTGTACACGAGTCTTGGTTGAGCCTCAAAAATCGCCGCAGCTTGAGTCGCAAAGCCTCGCATGGCCCTCTCGTGACAAGATCTGTACACTGCACAGGTTGATGTTGACCCTCAGCTAGCGAAGCTGCCATCCCTTCTCGCACTCAAGAAAAGTAATTTCGCCGTCCATCACCATCTGTCACCGCCGCCCTTTGTTGTGTGCATGTTGTCGTACTTGTCCATGTCTGCGCCAAGGTAGTCATTCGTCTTGGGGGCCTTCTCCGGCTTCCCCTCCTGCAGCTGTCTCATCTTCCACAGGGGGATGTAGCCCTTCCGCACCGAGTCGTGCAGGCTCATGACGAGGAGCTGCGAGAGATCGTCTGCTGCAAGGGGCTTGAGGTTCAAGTTGACGAAGTACTCCGACCAGCTGTTGAGGCCATCGCCGTGCAGGGTCCTTCTCATCTGCTCCTGCAGCATCTCAATCTCCTCCGGCCTCGGAACGCCCTTCTGCTCCTCATACTCCGCCCAGCGCATGTCGGTGCAGCTGATGCTCGGGCCCCGCTGCTCTGCCTCAAGAATCTCCGCCGTGGTCGCCTGCGCCCCGTAGCGCTTGAAGACCACGTTGCGCAGGAACCAGACGTTGAAGCACAGGAGCCGGATGGAGACGACGCTGGCCTTGAAGGTCCTCTCCAGCCTGTTCTTCGTGCTTGTGCCAAAGTGGGCTAGAGAGGGGTACTTGTCCACAGCCCAGCTTGCGTTCCGGTCCAATGTCTCCTTGAGCACAGCAGCAGACACATCGTCCCAGGTGTATTTCTTTGAAACGGCCAGCAGGCAAAGGAACTCGCCGATGTTGGGGCAGCTCTGTTTCGTTCGGGCCGCCGCAGACCGGACAAAGGTCGCGATCTTCAACTCCACCTGAGTCTGGAGAGAAGGGTACTGGCGCAGAATGGAAAGCAGGAGATGGTGGAATCCCATGTAGCCCTCCAGCGCCTTGGTAGAGAGGTGGAGGTCGCCCTTCATGAGCTGCACGGTCTGCAAGTTCATGAGCTTCGGCAACACCTCCAAGCCATAGGCCACGTCCGCCTCGGTCAGGCTGGCTACAGGCCGCAGCTCGGGAGCAGCAGCAGCAGGATCAGCAGCAGGATCAGCAGCAGGAGCGGCGGCAGGAGCAATGCTTGGCTTCGTCTTGCTGTCCGCTTGCTGTCTCTTGTACTCCTCCAAGCTGACCATCTTCTTGCCCGACCTGGCGAGCTCCCGGAGGCTGGCGCGCAGGCTGCCGGCACCGCCCGCGCCGGCCTGCGTGCCGTAGCTGCGAGTGGCGGCCTCGACACGCCCATCCCCGAGCTGCCGGAAGCTCTCTGCAAGGTACGGCAGCGCGCGCCGGAAGTGGCTGGCGTCGATGGCCACGGGCAGCCAGAACTCGACCTTCTCCTTCCACACGCCGGAGCGGATGCCGAAATCCTTGAAGGCCTCCTTGGACAGGAGGTCGAAGGAGCACTGGAAGATCTTGCGGCCCGTGTCATCGGGCACAATCTCCAATCCTACACCGAGCACATCCTCCTTGTAGCACAGCCGGGTCACGAAGCAGCAGCGCTTGTCGTAGCCCTTCTCTGCGATGCTCTGAGAAAGCTCCCGGAATTTGCTCAGGTCGATGATGGACTTGTAGGGGTATTTGTCGCGCTCCTCCTTGATCCGGCGGTGGATGTCCATGATGAACTTCTGGCGCCTCTCGATCTGCTCGCACACACCGTCGTAGTACTCCTTACCCCACTGCTCCACCTTCTTGCTCAGAACGGCCAGCAGCCGGTCCTCCTCCTTGCTGAGGGGCTTCGAGCCCGCCATCTTCTGCTCGAAGTTCAAGCGCTTGTCGGACAGGCGCCGGTGCTCCTCCGCGATCCTCTGCACGCTCCAGCCCTCGATGAGGCTGAAGTCGAACCTCTCGGCCTTTGCGGCCTCCTTCGGGGGTGGAGGTGGGTCAGTTGTGTAGTCGATCTGCAGTTCCGGGTACTGCGACTGCGCGTCTTGGATGATGCGATTGTTCTTGATCAGGAAGAACTTGTCCTCGGCATCGAACGTCTCCGCCAGCTTGAGGTCCATGGCCGTCTTGCTGGAGGCCTCAACGGCCTTGTCCGCCGGCTGGCGCCCGGAAGCACCGGCATTCAGCACCTGAAGGCTGCTCCTCAGGAAATGATCGCTCAGCTCCTCGTTGTACCTGCGGCTCCGCTTGCACACACACACACACACACACACACACACACACACACACACACACACACACACACACGAAGTTCTGGGTCTTGCTTGTCTTTACTTATGCTCATGCTGGTCTAACGAAGAAGCAAGCAACAGTCCTAGGTCTCGGGCATCACAAGTTCTAGGTATGTAGTTGGTAGTGGTGCACTTCTCAACACCAGGGCCCCCTAGACACCCTCTGAACATGCTCTCCCGGGGCACTTGTCCATGGTCAAGTCGATCTTGTATGGGCGTCGGGCATTCTCGTCCGCCAGCGCCTTCCGCAACACCCACACAGTCACAAGGTCGCCACGCTTGTACACCTCAGCGGTTTGCATCAGGGCTTAGGGCTTTAGGGTTCAGGGCTTAGGGCTTAGGGCTTGGGGCTTAGGATTTGCTGTGCCCGACGGATCCCTGATGGTAAGGATCCTTCCGCCCCTAAACCCTTCCTTGAAGCCCAACAAGGGCCTACACACATCTCCCAAGCCCCCGAAATTTCAACACCCATCAGACTCTGAGTCCTCGAACATTGAACTCTCGGCTCCGAAACCAACACCTTCTAGTTCGCGTGGTTCCCTCAATCCTTGAGTTCTTAACCCTGAACCTTAAACCCCAAACCCCTGAGGGTTTAGGGTTTAGGGTTTAGGGTTTAGGGTTTAGGGTTTAGGGTTGAGGGTTGAGGGTTGAGGGTTGAGGGTTTAGAAGCCAGAAAGAGCAAGGCGCGCTGCGTTGGTACCAGTCCTCCGTGTCCGCAAAGGCCCCGGCACCCAGCTGTGCGCGTGGGAGCAAGCCTCAGAAGCGCAGCTTCGGGGCTGCTAGAAGGCTTCAGGTTGATATGTTCCCCCTTATACTAACAGTGCAGAGAATAGGGATTGTGATTGTAGTACCCCCTATTATAGTCCCTATTAAAGGACTGTCAGGATGAACATCCCAAGCTTCAAGGGTCTAGGGGGTGGTGTAGGGTCGAGGGCTTTCGACAAAAAAGGGCTCAGGGAGACCAGACTGCTTACCACAAACCCATACTGTGCCCCAAAACCCTAAACCCTAAACCCTAAACCCTAAACCCTAAACTACCCTATTTCAGCTCCTTCAGGGCAACCCAGGAGCCCACCAGGTTGTCCGACAGGGCGACGAACCTCGGAGTGTCCCGGGCGGGTCCGAAGGGGGTCCGGGCATGTAGGGTTCAGGGCTTCAGGCTTTTGAGGTTTAGGGTTTAGGGTTTAGGGTTTAGGGTTTAGGGTTGAGTTTAGGGTTTAGGGTTGAGGGTTCAGGGATCTTTTGGGGTCGATATTTCTGGGCATGCAGACTACAGGAGAGACACTTGGGGACTTCATGTCTCTGTATGCTCATGGACTTTTCTCAAGGAAGATAAGAGAGGCAGTACTTCAGGGCTTCGGGTCCATAATCCCACAAGGTCTACAGCAACCTGGGGGATACGCGATCCCGCTTTCGGAGTCCATCCGAGGCACAGTCCCAGGCGGGAGGTGTCCACGACGATGCCCTCGTGCTTGCCCCCGACGCGCAACTCCTGGAAGCTCAGGCGAGGGAGCAGCGAGAGCTTCATGCGCTTCTGGGCGGCGTCGACCTCGCTGACGTAGACAAGCACCTCTGGCAAGGGGTGGGTTTCGGGTTTGCGGCTCGCAGCTCGGGTTGCTGTTAGGAAAATATTACTATTTTGCTATATATATATATATATATATTTATTTATTTATTTAATATTTTCATTGTTATGATGATTATTATTATCATCATTGTTATCATCATTATTATTCTCATTGTGACTATCATTATTATTATCATTGTTATTGTTATTATCATTATTATTATCATTGTGTTTATCATTAACAGCACTACGGGTCAAGTGTCTCAGCTCTTTGCTGTAGGCGAGAAATTGCGTCCTTGCGCAAAGAAGCGCGGTCATGCTGTGAAGACCAGAAGGTGGCATGCAACTACTACTAGAGTTGCAAGGAAGCAGCAGGAGCAAACAAGTCCAAAACCACGCACTCATAAGGCTGAAGAACAGTTAGGATGTGGAACCGTTTCATTGACGAACCTGTTGGCTACTGTTTGGGGTCTCTGTTTACTGCCTTTTGAAACCCACTAACTCCTAAATCCTCATCCCTTAAACCCTGCGATCCCAAAATCCTAGGCCCCACCAACCCCCTAAGCCCTGCGACCCTAATCCTGCGCGCCATGACAACCGTTGAGGTGTAGGATTTTGGGCTTGGGTTTCTTGGAGTTCTTGCGGATGTTTGGGGTTCACGTGGCTTCTTGGGGCGATAGGGGCTCGTGCGGCGGCGGGGCCCTGGGAGTTCCTCTGAAAGTTCGGAACAACCCCCTCGCGAAACTTCGTATTTAAAAAAAAACCTCAGGAGCCAACAAAACGAAAGGGACGCGTCTTTGGAGGGCCGGCAAGAAAGACCCTAAACCTTAAACCCAAACTCTAAACCCCAAACCCGAAACCCTAAAAACCCTAAACCCTAAACCCCCCAAAACCGCACGGAGAACCTAAGGTGCAAAGCCCCGAGAAGCGGAGATCCCGCCTCTGGCGGGCCGAGGGCCTGACGGGCCATCTGCTCGAAAATGTTCCTCGGGCTCTGTTTAGAGTTTAGGGTTTAAAGGGTTTAGGGTTTACCCCCTTGGTCCTCTAAGTAGGCAAAAGTTAAACTTATTCTAACTGGGGATTTGTGTACCCATGAACCTCCTAGTAGCTCTAACTAGACTACCTAGAGCCATCTTGCTAATAGCCTAAGGACCATCGACTCTTGCTTCGTTTATGGGCATCTCCCAGGCCAGGCGTTGCCAGGCTATGCCCCAAAATATAATAAAAACCTTTAAGAACCTCTGAAAAAAAGGCACCCCCCTCATGAATTGGAGATAGTCTCCCATTCACCATGATGGAGGCGTCGCTACGAATGCCACCCTCACCTGCACGAGGTGGCCACAGGGGCCGCATGTAGGGCAGGCACGGCAGCAGCCCGTCCTGCGCAGACATCTTGGTATTCTACCTACACTCATGGATTGTGCAAGACCAACAGTGGCTTTGTACGGAGAAGCTGAGGGCTTAGAACTAGAAAAGGTTCATCGATGCAGGCTCATCAGCACCAGACGGACACGTGCACCTGCCCACGTACACAAATGCCCCCATACAAGGTCAACCACCCGGGGCATTGGGGCACAGCGGCGCTGCAGAGCCCGTCCTGCAGTATCTTGGTCTCGCCCTTGCCGTTGCCTTTGCCGTTGCCCTTGCCTTTGCCCTTCCCTTTGCCCTTGCCAGACAGGCCTCGGCCACTCAGCAGCCGATTGTTCTGCACAGCGAGGTCTCGCGGGGTGGCGTCGATGCTGACGAAGGCGCCGAAGTCCTGCACGGATTTCACGGTGCCCCGCAGCGGCACGTTCAGCTTGCACAGCACCGACAGGAGCTGCCAGGAACCACCGCAGTCGGCCGGGAAGCTCTGGGGCGCCAGCGCGCTCCGGAGCGTGAGGAGGCTGCGGCGGCTGCGGTCGCTCCCGACGGAGATCCAGGAGTCCAGGGAAACGGCATCGGAGGGATGTGAGGGCACCAGATCAAAGCTGCCCAAGGAGCTTGCAGCAGAGGGAATCACATGAAAGGAGTGGGACAGAGAGCCCGAAGACTGCTCCGAGATGTCGGAGACCACGCTCACAATCTCGAAGCTGCAGCTGCGGGATGCTTCGGAGATAAGGTCCCAGCTGGCGCCGTCGCTCAAGGACACGACCTGGAACAACCGATATAAAAGAGTCCACATATGGAACCACCGCCCCCACAGCTGGGAGAAAAACCCTGAGCTTTCCCCCAAGAATACTGGCAGTCCTTAATAGGACAGGGGGGTACTGATAATTCCCATTAAGGACTGTTAGTATAAGGGGGAACATCCTAAACCCGAAACCCCAAACCCGAAACCCTAAACCCTGACCCCAAAACCCTAAACCCTAAAGCCTAAGCGCCCACCTCGAACTCAGAGCCGCCGGTAAGCTCGGAGGGCTCGGAGCCCACAAGCTCCCAAAGCTCCGAGGCCCCGGAGGTCTTGCTTTGGACCTGGCCAGTTCGAGGGTTTAGGGTTTAGGGCTTAGGGTTTAGGGTTTGGGGTTTAGGGTTTAAGGGTTTAGAGTTTAGGGTTTAGGGTTGAGGGTTTAGGGTTTAGGGTTTAAGGTTTAGGGTTTAGGGTTTAGATGGTTTAGATGGTTTAGATGGTTTAGATGGTTTAGGGTTTAGGGTTTAGATGGTTTAGGGTTTAGGGTTTATGACTGGGTTTAGGGTTAGGGTTTAGGGTTTAGGGTTTAGGGTTTAGGGTTTAGGGTTTAGGGTTTAGGGTTTAGGGTTTAGGGTTTAGGGTTTAATTAGGGTTTAATTAGGGTTTAGGGTTTAGGGTTTAGGGTTTAGGGTTTAGGGTTTAGGGTTTAGGGTTTAGGGTTAGGTTTAGGGTTTAGGGTTTAGGGTTTAGGGTTTAGGGTTTAGGGTTTAGGGTTTAGGGTTTAGGGTTTAGGGTTTAGGGTTTAGGGTTTAGGGTTTAGGGTTTAGGGTTTAGGGTTTAGGGTTGAGTTTTGGGTTTAGGGTTCAGGGTTTAGGGTTTAGGGTTTACGGTTTACGGTTTAGGGTTTAGGGTTTACGGTTTAGGGTTTTTACGGTTTAGGGTTTAGGGTTTAGGGTTTAGGGTTTAGGGTTTAGGGTTTAGGGTTTAGGGTTTAGGGTTTAGGGTTTAGGGTTTAGGGTTTTACGGTTTAGGGTTTTACGGTTTAGGGTTTTGGGTTTAGGGTTTACATTCTGGGGGGCTTTTCTGACATTAGGGGGGGTACCTTCTTGGGGTCCCTTATTCTGAGGGAGGTCCTACAACTTGGGGGGGGTCTGTACTTGGGTGGCTTCTTGTGAGTAGCCCTAAACCCTAAACCTTCTAAACCCTAAACCCTAAACCGTGGGTCGGGCCTCGGGCAGCGGCAGGCAGGCCAACTTCTGCCGGGTGAGGCTTTGGCACGCCTCACCTGACAGCATCTCGATGAGCTGGATTGGGCAGTCCTTCGTGACATCGTAGGCTAAGAACTCGTCTGCGGCGTAGCGGCCCGGCACTGGCTTGTAGGTCAAGGGAGGCGGGTGGTCGTAGGGAACCACGAGGCCCTCGCAGCCGCGCAGGCACACCTTCTCCATGGGAACGTTCTTGTACAGCGTGGCCTTCAGCCCCGACGAGTGCCCCTCGCTGTTGAACGCCCACTCGCCTCAGCCAACTAGCCAAGGGCAGCTTACGGAAGGTTTCCTTTGTGGGCAAAGGGTATGATTGGTTGGGCTGTCTGGTGCATAACTTGAGACTGCAGAATGGAACGCGACCCAGTCACCATACTTGTTCGTTAGGGGGGCATGGGCCGACCCCCGTGTCGCATCGCCCTCGACAACCACGATGCTCACGGTGCAGTCATAGGTATTCACGCTCTCGACAACCCCCGCGGGGTAGAACTGCTCCCGCTTCTTGACAAACGCCTCCGTGCCGGGTGTGTCCTCCGCTTTCAACTTGCCTCCCCCGTTCTGGGAGTTGACGAACCTCTCCCAAGTCACCTTGCCGTTCGCTTTGTCTGCCTCCTCCTCTTCTGGCTGCTGCCGCCTGAAAATGTAGCGCCCCAGCATGGGATCCCACCATCGCCAGGGGTACTGCACCTCGTGGCCATAATTCAAGATGTCCAGGTCCCTGTTGATGCACAAGTCGCCATTCAAGTACACCTCATCCACGACTCCATGGAATCGGAAGGACACCACATCGCGGACCCTGAAGACCCCCGGCACACGCCTCAGGGCGCGGCCGCTCTGCAACGCTGAGTTGGAGTTGGAAAGCTCCATGTAGAGCCGCTGTTGCTTGAAGTCAACCCTCGGATTCTTTGGGTCGTTGCGAACCTTCAGCTTCTCCAGCTGCTGCTGCCTTTGCTTCTTGCGTGACACGAAGGTGTGCTCTCGCTTCCCCTTCTGCATCTTCTCACCTGAGGCCTCGCTGGCACCAGCCTCCTCTGTTGATCCAGTGGTCTCCGACTCGCTGGCGGAGCCCTCGTCGGTGGGCAGATTCGGCAGGTCATGGAAGGCCACCTCCCTGTCGAGGCCGCAAAACCCGCATGCCTTGCACAAGAAGGCGTCGGCCTCATTCTGGGCCTGGTGCAGCTCGGCACACACCTGTTGGCGGAGTTTGCGGCCCTCCCCAGGACGGGCATGCCAACGATCCCACAAGGTGTTGATGTGATGCCCGGCGTCCGTGTGCACGTAGTCGTCAAAGAGCAGGCACTGCAGCTGCACCAGCACGGCCTCCACGCTGTAGGACGGGCTCCAACCTTCATGCCTACGGCTATCACTCGGGTCCAAAGGTGGCGGCTTCAGCTCCAGGAGGTCGGTGCAGATCACATACTTACCCCGAGAGGGGCTGTTTCCCTGCCAGTACGGGGACCATGCCAGGGCAGTGTTCTGCAGGAAGTCGGTGAAGACGTTGGCGTGCGGCAGGTAGTTGTAGAGCTCGACCTTCGGGGGCTTGCGCGGGTAGTCCTCGGGCATTAAAAGGACCATGTGGATACGTAAACCACTGAAGTGGCCGGAGATGGGGCTCATGGTGACATGCCACTCGTAGATGTTGTCCTCCATGACTCGCACATCGATTCCCGGGATGCCACGCCGCCGCAAATCATCGAAGTCCTTGAGCAGGCGGTACTGCACCAGGACCTTCTCTCGCTTGTGCAACTCGGGCATGTTTCCGATCTAAGGATCTAAAACCTCTTCTGTGGACGACAGCTTCTGTGATGGACGCATGCGACAAAATTGAGCTTGAGCCCACATGCACCAAGGAACTCGATTCAATGGCTGCAGGGGCACCGCCTCTCCGTAAAGCGCATGAGATATCCACCCATCCGAATAACAATGAGGACGACGTACATAAGACAACTGACTGATGTGGAACCTGAACTTTGCTTCGCTGCAAAGTACCAAATTCAGTCAGCTGCCACATTGCGGCATGCTTCTCTCTGTTGCAAACTGCATAAAAACCAGGGGAGGAGTGTAGCCTGTGCACATACTCACTTGAACAACCAATCCATGAGCTCCTGACAATTGTGGGGTTCTGAGGTGTGCCGTGAATCACCATGATCATGCTAATCGTCAAGCATTGCTTCCCAGGATACGAAGTCTCGGTCAAGCAGCAAACCCGGCACCCAGGGGGACATCATCGAGGGTCAATGAAGAAACGGGTCTACATTTCCTCTGGACTCAGCATTTGTCACCGGAACAAAGTTTCCCATCGCTCGCCCTTTTCTAGGATTTCTCGAGTGGGCTACACTACACTGCACTTTTTGCCGGTGTGTCAGCCTGGAGCCTGCAATTGGTCAGGTTTGGAGAGCTTTGGGGCTTTGGTTCGGAAGAGGAAAGTAAAGGGCAGCACGTCAACAAAACGAACCAGAAGAGGAAAATGAGAAAGCCTTTGGCCATTGATGCAGAGGGGGAAGGGAATGGAAAACCATGAACCAAGATCAAAACCATTAAGCAGAAAACCAAAAATGGAGAGGAGAAAAAAAAACAAATTATGGGGGCGAAGAGCCCAAACAGTAAGATGGTAAAGAACGGGAAAACGGTGTGAAATGAGTCAGACCTGACGACATTGACATAGTTCATGCCTTTCTTGGCCCGAATAAACGGGAACATGCCCAAGTGTATACGCGCAGCGGTTTTCCAAAACCACGTGACCCCGTTCTGAAAAGACAGTAAACAAGACGTAGTCTGTGTTTGTCCTCGTTCATGAACTCCTCTATTTCTCTTTGCGTTGTTTGCGTAAGAAGGAAAAGCTACGGGCCCTCAACGCGTCCAGCAGTATTTTCGACGTTTCGCAGGAATTCCGGAAGGATCCCAGAATTAGAAGGAACATGCCCAAATTCATCTTGCAAGGCCGGCTAAATGGATCAAGGTTGGGGGGGCTCGAACCTGGGTTCAACCCAGGTTCGAACCCCCGGTCGGGGGGGAACAACATCGAGAACCTGGGTTGAACCTGGGTTCAACCAATGCACGCGCGTCGACGGGCAGGGCGGGCGGGTCCGACGGGCGCGTTTGCAATCGTTTCGGCAACGAAAATTCGGCGGCGCCGGTCCATTCGCCGGACAATCTAAGCGCCGGATCTTTGACCCTGACGAAAACCCGCATCAATGTAGTCCTTGGCTGCGCCGTCCGTGAACTTCGCACGATGAACGCGTTTGCCAGTCAATCGCAACTCATCAACTTGCGGCGAATCTCGAATGCGATTCATTCAGCTCAAGCAATCCGATACGAGTCTTCATATGATGCCTAATCAACACATCTAGACTCATCAATAGTCCAATAGTCCACGTGCTTCGCAGGCTTGGCGCTTTAGGACGAGGCTTCGACTTCAATGGTGGAGCCTTGGACTTCCTTGCTGCGGCAATTAATGACGAGATCAGCAATATCAGAAATGCCCCGAAAGCTCTGAATCCAAGGCCTGAACACCGCAATGGGTCTGTGCGCCAGATGAAGCAACATACGATTGAAATAACAGTCGGAGTGAGATACACCAACGTACCTTGTCGCAGAATGGGGCACCGTTCGATCAGTGGGGGTCATCAATGCCATGAAATCTTTGGCCATCACGGGCCAGAAATCCTGTATAAGAAATCTAGACACACCGACCATTGGAAATGGCTCACACACATAGAACTGAACACACAATGAGTGGCCCTTGCAATCCAGCTCAACCACGCGTTTGCCGAGAACGTTCAATGTCTTACCCGAAATGCTTCTGAGGGGAGGACAATCACGACCAACGGGGCGCCATGGGACAGCAATCTCTCTCAAAGAGAATCCAGCTCCGATCAACAATGCCAGACTGCAAGTGAAAATCTGACAATCTGTCTGCGCTGATGTCGGTCTGGACTCAGGCAGTCTTTCGGCACCAATGCCAAAGGCACTGGCGCTGTTTTACTCAATGTCTCCACAACAGACTCTTCGGACACGTGCAGTGGAGGAACAGAGAAGGACAGCGCGCCAATGAGCACGCGGGCTCCTACGAACAATCTACTTACCGGTCCTGAACGCGTGGGTGCGTGCGCCTCCACGCGATTTTTTTTTGCAACGCTCAGCTTCTTTACCACATCAGCGGCGCAGTAAGCAAGTCAAGACTATTTGTGTTAGCTAAAACGTACCAGCAAGCGTAATGGAAGTCGTGTCTACAAAGAAGCAACCGCTAGCGCAGAAGCCCTTATTGCAAGACAACCAAACACAAGACCAGCAACGCGAGACCAAGACCAAACAGAAAACAACCGGCACCATTCTCTCACTCTCAGAACTCGAACACGAGGAAGAAGTCTAAGATTCCTGTTACGGAGATCTCCCAATGGTCATCAAAGGTCGCAAGCAAGCGTAGCAGCTTTCATGTCAAGAGGAAGAAAGCAGGGGTCTGCACTTCTCGGAACTTCCCTGCCCTACTGTATGCCAAAGACCTGCAGTCGTTCAACTTGGGGCCGGCCGCCGGCCAGCAAGTGCTGGTGGTGCGCGGAAGCAAGTGTGGCCCACACTACTGCCCGAGCAGCGGCAGATTCACAAGAGCACAGAGACAGCAGATGCTGCAAGCAGGCAGGTCCTTGCCGGTTGCGAAATGCAGGGGCACAACCCCGACAGACTTATCTGTCCCATGCAGCGGCTGATTTTGGAAGGCACATTTTGGAAGGCACACAGACTACAGATGCTTACTGTAGCAGTAAGGGCATCTACCCCAACGGAATGCAGGCCACAGGGATTGCAAGCAGACTAACTGCTGGAGCAATGCTTGACGACACCCTTACCGCATGTAGCCTCCGAGAAAAAAATTGTGCAAGAAGCAGAACAGAGACCTTACAGTTGCAGAATCCATCAATTGCAAAATCCATGAAACTCGACGTCTCAGCTGCAGTGTAACAAAGTAAACCAAAACCTCCGGTCTCTAGAAGCCGCCAGCGTCAAGCGTCAAACGATTCACAAATATATGTAGAAGCCGCAAAAGTCAAACGATTCACAACACTATAGAACAACAAATATTCAGAAAACATACGAAAGCAAAATCCCAGACAAACAAAGAGCCAGAAAAGAGGTCAGGACAAAATACAAAAATACTGCAAACCAAATCAAAAACAGTTTTGCACTCAAAAAAATTTCAACAATATAAGCAACTACTACTGCTACTGCTACTGCTACTGCTACTGCTACTGCTATTTTTCGTTCCAAATCGCAGCCGGTCTCTCAGCATAGCGTCAGGTACGTGGCAGCACATTGCACCGGTGCTTCAAGAGCATTAGAACCACATGGGCAAGTCCCGCTATGAATAGCTGCAAACTTGCGGCCTACTCAAATTGTCAAGAGAATGGCGCACTGTAGTGCACCCTTCACTCGATCAAAAAAGTGCAAAATCAGATAAGTAGAAAGCGAAAACGTAAAACATGAAAACAGGTCGTAGAGCTATCGACATCGCTACAGCCATCTGTTATGGCATCTTGCATTCATCATGGTGTTTCTCTGTACAAAGTGCAGTCCTGAGAACTGCAGTGGCCCCAGGAGGGCACACTGAGGACCACGCACAGCACCCTGTAGTCCTATGAACTGCAAGTGGCCCCAAGAGGGCGCACTGAGGACCACGTTCAGCACCCTGTAGTCCTGTGAACTGCAAGTGGCCCTTGGAGGGCACACTGGGGACCGTGTAGTTCAGTACCCAAGAAAGGTCTGGCCGCAGAGCATCGCCAGAACACAGCTTTCTCGCACTTATTAACTGTGACCCGGAAGGACGTAACGTCAAAACCCAGACCACATCTCGAAGCATACGTGGGGCCGGGGCCCAGTGCGGGCCATCCCATCCGAGGATAGGGTAGGTTGCCGCCGCCGGCATTCGGTCAGCGTTCGGGACAAGGCAGCGATAATGTAAAAACGAACGGTCTTTTCCACACAAAAAGTTCATCACCCCGCCTGAGATTGCAGTGTGTTCGAACTGCACATCTCACATGAACTTCCTGTGTCTGCTACTCTGCAGTCGTCAGCATGTCTTTGCAGTGACTGCACAAGCTCAACTTCTTTGGGAGATTTCTGGAAGTCTTCAAGACTCCACAGCTTTTGTGATGAAAACACTCACCATGACGCGTGACAAAGAGCTCTTGGGGTATCACAACTTTCACATTGACACTCGAACGGGCTCCCATCGGCTCACGATTCACCGGCTCAGTGCTTGTTGACTTCAGCTCGCATTCCAGTCGAAGAATGTAGCGATGCATTGTCCACACCACCACAAGCATGGTACACTCCGGCATCAGTCCACACAGGAAAACGCAACCCATGATCACTTTTGACGCAAAGTCCTGTGAGCTCATCTCCAGAAGACTGTTCATGATCCCTAGCCCAGCTCAAGGCCCGGTAAATGCACAAACAGCAGCATAGCAGGATGGTAGCCCAGGTCATGTTCGACATGCCATAACTCTGGTACTGCGTTGTTTTGTGTTGTGTAGAGAACATGGCATTTACTAGGCCCCAGCGATTTTTTTTTTGCTGCGTTGACGCACGCTGGACAACATTTCGAGTCTTGTTTTATGCACAGATTTGTTTTGGGGGCGTTCAGAATTCGGGGTTTAAAGGGTTGAGACCAAAATTGTTTGTGTGTGCGCTTTCTCCTTGCTTTGCCTTTTAATGAAACTTATGCTACGCTTGGCGTTGGGGGCCTGTACGAAATGGTTATT